AAATGTTCTTAATTGAGTGCACAATAATTGAGTGTCTCATGTCCAACGTGGAATGAACCTTTTTTATGTTGGCTTCAGGAAGGTTCTTATCATGGAGCTACTTCTTCATATTAGTGAAGGTGAGTATTGTTGGAAATCAGACAAGTTCCATGTACCGTGAACAAATGTACTAAGTTATACTAAACTACGAGCATACTTATACGAGATATGGCTTCATCTTACATTTAAAATAAATTGTGATAAGTAAATTTGCAATTTTCGAACATTAAATTCGAAATTATGAAAAAAAATCACTACAATTTTTTAAAATTTATTTATTAACATGAGTTATTTTTTACTTCAAATGTAGCCTGTCAGAAAACTGTCGTAAATTAAAGAGGGAGATCTCACATTCAGTGCCTTATCTCCCTTATTATTATTGTCTCATCAATATCTTCCTCGTATTCATACTGTTCATTGTTTGATTCAACAAAAAATATGAGAGTATATGAAAGAAGATAGAATATAGGTACCGCTATCCTTCTATCCCTAAAATATCATTATTTCCGATTTGCTGCATTTGAAGTTTGCTGACTATATTTGATGTACAATAAAGTAAAAATTATAAATAAATTTAAAAAAAATCGTAATGATCTTTTTTTCTTCTCAATTTCCAATTCAGTGCTTAAAAATTACTAATATACTTATCACAATATATTTTAAATGTTTTAGAATAAGCTCAAAAGCCGAAGGAAAATAGGGCCGAGGAAGAGACCTAAATGTTTTAAAGGTAGCTCCTTAAAAGCTTTTAAAATCCCTTTATCGATAATAGTCTGCTAACCCGAATAAGAGCTAACCGCATCAACAGGTTGTTTGAAAAAAAAAAGAATATCTCATCGGAAATAAGTTGAGCTATATATAGCAGGCCGATCAGGACGGTGGATTCTGTACATCTCTGATTTAGAAAATCTTAGAAATTGTTTGAAAAAAAAAATTAAGTAAATGATTTAATTTTTTTTCCCCAAAAACCTTCAATTGTATACACTTGTACTTATACCTTATATTTCAACTAACTGATAATGAATAAAAATTGGTATAACGTTATATAAATTCAGTATAGTTTAACTAACTTTATACTCAACTGGGGAGTTTGATTTTGGGTTTGGTGGTATTATTAGTTTGGAATTGTATAGGTAAGGAGATTTAAATGGGGGGATGTAGAAAGATATGTGGGTTAGGGATGTTTTTTGTAGATAGGTATTTTTAGTATTGAAGGGATTGATTTTGGGGTTGTAGTGTTATGGATGAGAAAAGGGGTAGGAATTATTATTTTAGGGTATGTTAAGTAAGGTGTATTAATTAATAGGTAATGATATGTAGGAAGTGATAGAAAGTGGTGATGAGTTTTAGTGTAGGTATGATATTAGGTAGGTGATTATGTATGGGGAATAGGGATGTTTGGAGATTATGGTGGTGAGTAGGTTTTGGTGAGGGTGGTGTTGTGAGAAGTGAAGTTGGGATGGTTGGGTTTATGTAATGGGTTGTGGAGGAGGTGTGGATATTGGAGGAGTGATGTAAGTGAAGGAATGTGGGTGTAGGTAATGTGGGTTGTAGGGGATCGTAATGGTATGGGGGGTGGTTGTGTGGGTTGTTGTTTTTTTATATGGGGTATGTGGGGAGTGGTGTGAGTTGTTTTTGGTTGTTGGTTATTGTTTATAGTGTGTTGGTTGTTATGGTGTATTAATGGGATTGGGGATGGTATTGTTGGTAGTGGGTGTTTTGGGGGGAATGTGATGTATTGTGTGTGTTTTTTTTTTTATTTTTTTAGTGGTGTTTATATCGTGTTTTGGGTTTGTTATTGTATTGATGTTGGGTTTTTGTTGTGTTGTTTTTGGTTTGTTGTGTGGTTTGAGAGTGTGGATGGTTGTGGGTGGGTTTGTATTTGGTTAGAGGGAGGTTTATATTGGTATGTGGGGGGTTTGGGGGTGTTGGAGGTTGTGGAGAAATTTGTTAAGGAGTTGGAGTGTAGGGGAAGAATTTGGGGATGTTTTTGGTAAAAGTGGTGCGGAATGGGAGGTATTGAAAGGAAGAGGGTGTGGTGGGGAGGAATTGGGGAGCAGGAAAGAGGGCAGTAGAACCACAGATGCTCAGGTCTTGAGTGACCATTGCCAGAACTCTAATGGCATATTTACAAGAGGTCCCCGGGTCACTGACGTCTTCACCATAGAGGAGGACTTTTAGAGATGGTTGTAGCTAGATAGGGATTGAGCTAGAGGTAGATTTAATTTTTACGATATATTTATCACTACTATGCCCGGTCGGTGTATAATGCATCCGGTAGCCTGACGGGGTTTGTATCATGCAGATCAACAGTTTGTTTTCAATTCAAATATGAGATATGCAACATTTAGAAAAGTTAATAAGATATTGATCTGATGATTTTTCCTTCTTTAAAATCATAACACTGTTCTCTTTGTATGGTTATTTAAGAAAACTATAATATCGTATGTATTATTTTAATGATGTTATGATTTTTGCATTGATCAATATGACCGAAATTCAGAAATGAGTTTTTCAGAATAAAAATCCATTTTTTCTATTTATTTATTTATTGAGTAATATAATATTTTATCACATTGACAGTAATTATAACGAGATCGGATCACATTCACACTATATGTACAGAAAATATTAAATAAGCAGAAGAACCATAACAACTAAATAATAATCGAAATGTATATATAATAAAAAAATAAAATAAAATTACTTAATGATAAGTAAATAAAAAAAACAAAACACATATATATTCTATTTAGAATCAGGCAAGGTAACCTCAAAAGGACTCCAAGAGATCCTTGCTCTATACTGTCAACAGGTCACTGGTACTAAAGCCAGTAGAGATTGATAAATCCATTAAAAATACAGTCCACAGTCTTTGTGTAATAGCAATGTGTGAACAGGAAATAAATTTTACTGAAAATTTAGACTCTTAAATATTTGGTTGGTCCACCCTCCAGATTTGTCGTAAATGTTACGCGAATTCGAAGTACTTATTTAAAATCTTATACGCGTTAAAATATTCTTTTATAAATTTTCAAACTCTTTGATTAAAATGATAAAATTATCTAACGAAATTTATGCTGTAATATACTAACAAAGAAATGTACCCAAAAGTCGGATTTCTGTGTATATATTTAATAAACTTTGAATACATAGAAACATTTCATCCTAAAAAAAATTAAACATGGCTATGATCTTTATTGGTGGGATTTAGAATGTCATCCCTCATTGCTTTACTTGTTATATTGGGTTAAAAAAAAATCAAAAATTTCAATCAACCTGTTTCATATTTACAAAGAAAGAAATATATATATATATATATATATATATATATATATATATATATATATATATATATATATATATATATATATATATATATATATAGCGCTTGCTGGCTAAGCAGCCATCATCCATGGATTTATACCAATTTGTCAATGGCCATGAACCCGGTTCGGTGGGAAGGACGGTGCCAAATAGGCCACAAAGGGATCGGCTATGGAGCTATAGGGACCATGGTCATGGTCATGGAAAGCAATATACGTCTGTAAGGAGGTCATATCGCACGAACAACGATATATAGGGTCTATAGCAATAACTTAATTATACATCTAGATAAATGACTGATCATAGTTTTTAATAATTTCTGTGTATTTGTTCGGTTTAAAAATCGTTCCAATTTGAGCTTTTTAAAGAAATAAAAAAAGCCTGTAAACTTCAACAATTGTAACTGTCATTGACTCTTTGCTGAAGTTGAAGCGGGTTTTATTGTTGTTGATATAATCAATCATAAGCTTTGGGTGTTGGCCCCGGAGCGGTGAACATACCGCAGGCTACCTCCACGTGTCGTCCTGCCGGTGACATCTCTACCATCAAAGCTTCTCTTTGTACCATCCGTTCCATTTATGGAATAAAGAAACCAATTACATTGTTTGATTCCAACTTCGGGTTACTGAATGACGTACAACTTCATAGGATTTTTTTTTAAATTTTTCTGTGGGGCAGTTGGTCATTCGTTTTTGTATTTAATAATGAAAAAAAGAGACTATGGTGTGCAGTTAAGATCACGTGATAGAAGTTGAAACATTAAAACATTTATTTGTTATATAAATTGGCTCATTATTCACCAACATTTTATTTATTAGCTATTTTATTGAGACGTTTCGACCATCACTAGGGCCATTTTCAAGTCTGGAAAATTGTAATGTCATTATTAATTAAAATTTTACATTATATTTTTTTATTTCACATAATTAACTTATCTATCGATCTATGTCATAACATTTTCAATACACATAGATTTGTATAATTTTTCTTATAGAAACCTTACATTTACGTAGCTTTATTCATTAGAAACAATTGATTATTACCTTATCGAGTCCTCCATATTCATTATTAATGTACTAATTTTGTTCAAAGAAAGTTTTTTTTTGTTCTATATAATCACAAAGTAATAACGTTTACAAAAAATATCAACAGAAAACCGAATAGAAACTCTAAATTTATTATTTATTATTTTTACAGATAATTAAAAATACTTACTTATATTTACTTCTGCAAATTGCTTTCTGATTTCTCCACTGTTTTTAAAATTTTGAGATATTTTAGTACAAATGTTCAAAATAGTTGTCATTATTTTTTTTTTGCTCTTTCCATTCTATTTGGATCTGTTTCCCTTTCCAACTATCTAATCCCGCGTCACTTGAATATACAATTTTGAATTATAGGTCATTTGTGATTTTTGTCGTTGTCGTTTAAACGACACGAAATTGTCGTGCTGTCGTTTATCCGACATAGTCGTTGCCGGTTAAACGACAATTCAGTTTCACACTTACCCGACTGTCGTTTAAACGATGCCGGATACTAGTATCGATACTGAAACTAATAGGGACCTTTCACACTAGTCCGACAATTGTCGTTGTCGTTTAAACGACACGGGTTGTCGTGCTAATGTCGTTCTAATGACAAATGGCAATCTTCATTTGCCGGATAAACGGCAAGACGACAGTCGTGCTAGTGTTCTGAGTACCCGGCAACGTTTGGACGACTGCCAGATTCGTGCAAATGATAGGCTAGGTATTCACTGCTCTTATCAGTGGAGTACAAATCTAACCTATATATACTGCGATAAAACGAATAGGTATATTGTTCGCTATGTGTGAATTATTTTCCATAGGATGTTTAATTAATTTTTATAATAAATTACATTGAAACGAAACTACTTACTTTCATTTGCTTAATGAAGAAGTGCTGGTCATTTCCTTTTCTTACAATACGATTTCTAGTTTCTGACATATTTTAATCCAAATTCAAAAATTTGTCGACATGAGCCGACATGAAGGTTGAATTCGTGCCTAAAGAAGGTTTCACTTAAGAAAAAACACATTCATTTCTTTTAAAAAGTAATTTTGCCATTGTTAAATCCTTTAATTGTAAAATCAATTAGGACTGAATACATTATATCTTGATACGAATTAGCTATCTACAATCATTATGGCACGGTTGGTTATAAAATGTCATATAGTAAAGTTTTGATGGAGCTAAGCTTTTAAAATCGTTTCTGTGAATACAAACTCTATTATATACATTTCATTTTTTTTAAAAACCCTCATCTGTTTTATATACGAAACATAAATTGAAGAGGGGAAATTTAATGTTTCTTTTACGAGGAAGTATTTATCGTTAAAAGAAAAACTACTTTGACTGACTGTGCAAATCGGTTGCTATTTAAAAACTCATGGCGTCTAAGTCATCAATTTAGTTCGGTCAACTGATAGTTGCCTGTGAAAAAATTGAAATAACCCTTCTGCCTTCAACAGTCGTTACTTATGCTGGCTGATGTTTCCTAAATTAATCTGCTCTGCCCTCTTTCTGAATTATATGTTGCGTTACTCCAAATTTGAAAATATAAAATGGATTAAGGTAATAGCCTAAAATCTAGGCCAATCTCATTGCCGGAAGCCCCTTCTCAGATTTAACATCAACTTTCTTACCATATCCCATCACCTTCAGCAATGAACTTAGTCATTACCATTGATCATAACTTCTCCTGGAATAACCACATTTCCCGCATAATAACTTCATCCGCAACGTTCTATCCAAATACACGTGTACTTTTTGTAACCTCCATGATCTCCACAACCTCTAGGCTGTGAGGAATGCCTCCTATTGGCAGATCTCATGAACAGAGTTAGCAGAATTAAATAGCTTAGTAAGATTCATTAATGGGATCCTGAGATGCTCCCCTATTTTCCACTCATCCTCTTCTTCAGAATTAGAAACTACTTTCAAGAATCATTTTTTTTTTTACAAAATAATCATAATCTTTATTTGCTAGTAATCTTCTTCAATTTATATTTTTATTCAGTTTCTCTCGACAAGATCTCGAACATCTAACTTTTATACCCATTTTCACAGATCACAGATCCGCTGATTTCAAATCTTCTGCAATGCTCGCTTCACCAATTTTCGGTATTCCCTCCCTCTCAAAAACTATTGCGATACCACTTCACAAATCAAACAGATACTGGCTAATTATATATTTGGCTACAAGGATTTATTTTCCATGACAGATACTTTGTTTATTTAGTTATTTTTCAACTGCTTTACATTGTTATTAAGTTAGAGCACACACCGTATTATATTAATTTCTATTCATGTCTTTGAATAAAGATTTTACTGATGGTTATTAGCAAGATTACTAAACAAAAAAAAACGTAAAACTCGGACAAATATTAACAAAGATACAGTCCTTTTGACTATGTATACTTAATAATTTCTTCCTTTTTAAAGATAATGCATTTACTGTTTTACTACTAATTTTTTTCCTTACTGAAATATACTTTATCATTTCTTAAAGGCATTTTGTTTGCTCGTAGATATTAATTATATTTAATAATTTAGAAAATCCCATGATCGAGGTTTTATTTTGAATAGTGCCTTTTCAGTCAGTGTTTAAAAATAGACCAAGTAATTTGTTCAAATATTTTTGTTTATTATGTTAAATTTAATATTATAATCGGCCAGAGAAAAATAATTAATTCCTTCCTCACATAATTCATAGGATCTTATTTCCATATTTTTATTATATTTGTTTATTTTACCAAACGGTTTTGTTTATTTAAACTTTTTTTAAATAACAGGTGTATATGTTTTATATAATTATTATATGATGAATATTGGTATGTTGCAGCGAAGCCAGGTAGTGAGCTGAACTGCAGGTCCCCCGAGGTTGTGTCGGGTTGCAACGTGATCTCAGACGTCTGCTCTTGCAGCTCTGCACCCGCATGCCCCGGCCAGCCTTCGCCCTACTCCTTTCGCGATCTGGAGGAATGCACCATCAATCTGGATGTCATGCACCAGCACGCCAGGCAGCGGGATTTAGAAGGTATTGCTCTCTCGTCTATTTCTAAAAATGAACTATATTGCATTAGAAGGCTATATTAAAAATATTTATTGTCATTAATTTCAAATTGCAACAGTATTTATGCAATGAAATTTCAGTATCCAGTTAGTAATATAATCGACAAAGAGAACTTAATTTTTTGATAATATTTTCAATTATATTTTGAGAAGCCATGTTATCAACGTTAATCAAGAATATATAATTGATAAAACTGAACAATATAAAATAGAAATTAATAGAAACATTTTATTGGCTAAATATACATCTTAGCCATGGAGTGTGGTCCATTTAGTGTTAGTAGGGATTAGTTGTATAAGTAGAAGAACATAAGTACAGTATAAGAAGACAAAAATAAAATATTTTTATATACAAACATCATAAATATTTTCATATAATAAATTTCATAAATGAGATATCATAAATGAATAAAAATATATGCATACAGAAGAAAATTTACTATGCAGAATACAACTAAGTAAAACAAATAGAAGAGATCTTAGGATTACAACGCACATGTAGAATTATACAATTAATAATAATAATATTTTTAAAAAACCCAAATTGTGAATAACTACACGTACGCCCACGGACATATGAACTGACTGACCTAAAGCTGAGGGTTTGTACTTGTATTGATAAAGTCACAAACACATATAATAAAATAAAATATTTTGTTCAACTGGTCAAGATTTTTTAAATCAAACACACACTCCTGAGATAAATAATCTGTGGCAGCCTCTATATGTGTATGTAGGTATTTTCTTTTATGTGTCTCCTGAAACAAACACTCCAATATCAAGTGCTTTAAACCGTTATTGATAAGTTGGCCGCACCATTTGCAATATAAAATATCAGAACGCGATGTATGTGTATGTAACCAAATGAGGATTAAATAAGCAGTGGCAGATCTAGTGATTTTTTTTTGGGGGGGGGGGAGAAAGGGGGAGAGAGAGGGTGCTATCAGAGTGACCACAGAATTTAAGAGACATATTAAATTTTTTGAAAGCAAGATAACTTTTTTTTTAAACGGATTTTTTCCAAAGAATATTCGCTTGAAGGATATATTGAAGAAGCTTAGTCGACTGTTCTACATATCGCAGTCAGTTTTTATGATTTTTATTTCAAACGTTTTACCCGAAAAATTGTGGGTCATTATCAAGGGTGTTATATTTATTTTTTTCCAATGGAAATATGTCTAAAGGATATATTGAATTTTATTACAATTTTAAATAATCATAACTAAAATCATAATAATTAAAATATAATTATAATCATAATTGAAAATAATTACTTTAAACGTTGACAATAAAAATATTAAATACTGACTGCGTCCTGGCGGCCTAGCACCCATATAAAAGATATAGTTAGGATTTTACTTGAGTAGCCATGATAACAAGCTCTAAATTAACAAATAAAAACACCATTTATTACTGATGCACTCAGTCTTGGGTTTAGTCCTTTGTGTGGGAGTACATTTTCAAGGCCACCAGTTGTGTAGGGAGGTTGTGGGTCTGCGATCACCCTCAACCGCTAGTATTTTTTTTTCAAAAGATTAATTAATTAAAATCTTTTTTAGGGGATGGGTGTTCCTCAGGAGAATTTCTTGACCAGAGGGTAAGTTCATGGCTGATGGAATAGATAAATAATTATCTGCCACACCGGGGTTCGAATTCAAGTGTTTGAGTAACGCAGCACAGAGTTAAATCAAACAGAAGTTACTTAGTTATATTTTTTAGGACGATACTTCTATTATAGTTTGTTTAAATTTTCATATGAATTGATAACGTTATTTGGTGAAATTTTGATATAAAAATTGTATAAATAATTTTTACTAAATCGATCGGAGCTCAACTCCCGAATGATACCGTAAATAATTGAGTTGTGAATTAAAAAATTAAAAACCAATTAATTTGTACCGATAATACTCGTGAGCTTACTGTTTATTTTCCCATTCTGATTTCGGTCTTCGGAAACGTTCATTTTTTTCTCCAAATAATAATATACCAATTGCACGCTGTAAATACATTGCATTTGTACAAAGATACCAAGGATTTTTTTTTTTTTTTTTTTAACACTTCAGAAATATTACAATTTGTCACAGTTAAGGACACTTATAATAGAGTTCAGAGAGTACATTCATACCGTATATACAAAAATATAAATAAATAAAGTAATAACAAAAGAATAAGAAAAAAAAACAAAGAGAAAAGAAAAAAATATATATATATATACACATAAGTAAATAAAAATAGAAATAAAAGTAAAACAAACATCTTATATAAAACATACCTATATACATTATTTACAATTTGCCAGGTGATCTCCGAACCAATCCTGTCCCCTCCAGATGTGGAGGGAAGAGGGAGGCTTAGGAGATCCCTACGCTTCTCCCTCAGCCACTTCACTGGTATTTAAAACCAGCCGAGGATGAGTAAGAGCGCTACTCCAAGGATATGAAGTAAAGATTTATGCTGAGATAAAGCTTTTTACTTCGTTTAAATAAACATATATAATTCAATATACAATAATAATAAAATCAGACCTTTTTTCTCAAAGCAGGTATTTAAATCGTTGATTAATATTTTTTATTACACGTTAAAGGTCCGAAACGTTTGATATTATTTTTCTTCAAATAATGCTTTAAAACTTAATATTCAAATTTATTAAGGATTCGTGGTACACATTTATGCTGAGATGGCGGTTTTGATTACTTATGAGTAAAAATATATGATTCAATAAACAGAATAATAAAAACAAAAATGAAACATTTTTTCTCAAAGCAAATCGTATTTAAATCGTAAATTAGTTTTCCCATTACACTTTCGATCTTCAGTAATGTTTAATATTGTTTTCGTTCAAATAATGCTTCGGAACGAAACATACAAATATACGATGCATATTTGGTACACGTTAAAGCTGAGATGGTGGTTTGGAATTCGTATATATATATATATATATATATATATATATATATATATATATATATATAAATACGAATTCCAAACCACCATCTCATATATATATATTAAAAATATATAATTCACTATTCTATAATAATAATAATAACTTTAGGGCTTCAGAAATGTTTAATTTTTGTTTCTTCAAATAAGGATTCAGATCTAAACCTAAAAATATAGTAAGTATATGCGGTACGAACAACTGAGATTGCGGTTTCTACTCCATATGTGTAAAAATATATAATTCATTATATAATAATAATAAAAACAGCAATAAGAGAATGGGGGGGGGGAGAAGAGGAGATGGCAATATAGGAGAGCAGCTGAGGTCGTAATATCCCTGAATATCGCCGCCTCCTCAATCCGCTGCGTCATGACCTATTTCCCTTCCGCACCGGCTTCATATATTCTCTATAAGTGTTCGTATTTATGTCTCTATGTTCTTATACGCTTCTTTTACACAGTAGTAGTAATTAAATTAATTGAACCCCTACGCGACAGGGTGACTTTGTCTTGGAGACTTATTTTAAGAGAAAAAGAATACTGATAGTTTTGACACATCAAAGGGGCTATTATAATTCCCATGGTTTACACGGGATTCTGAAATCTAGACTAAAATGTGTACGAAACATATTGCTAATAGATGACAAAAAATCGCCCAAGATAAATATTTTAAAAATGAAAGATATCAAAAAAACATTTAACATAAACTATGAAATTAAGCATTATTTAATATTATGTAGGTTTTGTTCTCGTTGATGTTCCCTAACAGGGCTTGCATGGCTTTTCAATATTAGCTTCCTCTAAAATAACTTTATTTTTTTTATTTGAAACAATTAACTATTTCACTCTAATCTCTAGTATAAAAAATAGTTAAATACAAAATATGAAAGAATTTTATAATTAACTGAATGAGAAATAAGAGATCATAACAGAGAAAAGTTGTAATGAAGTAACCAATGGGATTCAAGAGCCCGAAGATTAGAACGGGTTTCCATAGCAACATGAGCTTAATATAATACGGACTCCGACAATATTATGTAAATATACATATGCGGTTTTCCTTCATGTTTTTTTTTGTTATTATTTAATATTTAATTGTTTAGATAGCAGCTATATGAATATTAACATTTGTATATAAAAGGGTACTTCAACAAATAAAAATATCCACAATTAAATATAAATCAATATAGCGTTTATAATTGTTACTTTCACTTTTCCTTTGTCTGAAAATATCTATTTTTATGTTTTATTATATAGATAATTATTTTATATTTTATACTTGCTAAGAAGAGGAGTAGTAAATTAAAGTGCGCATCGCACCAGTTTTTTTTTTTCAATAAACTGACGATATAAAATGAATAAACTTTTATTTCATTTCGAATCAAACAGTTGATTGAAATAGTGGCAGGTAAAATATAAATATTGGTATGAAGCGTTCATATTATTGCAATGAATAAGTAATGAACAGTAAAAAATATAACACATGATTCACGTAATATCGTTTTTACTCTTTGCAACGGAACATAGTAAATTATAAATTATTAAAAATATTATGGATATATTATATATGTGTTCTTGATAGTATTTCGGTATTAGTATTTTCTGCAAATGAGGTTTAGACTAAAACTATGAATGGTTTTAGAAGTTTCGACATCAATCTGGGTTAAAATTGTTATTAATCTGCATACAAAGCGAAAATCATATGACGGTGTAGCCGCATAAGGGAATTAGGCCTGGCAATTTGCTCGACCAAAGCTTCAAACTCTCTAAAGTTAAATTGGCCACAACACTTTGCATAATTTAATAGTTTTGTGAAAGAAAGTGTGAGATGGTGCTTAGTCATGTGGAATAGTTTTGTAATGGAGTGGATAAACAGTGCTACTGACCAGATTGAAAGTAATATTGACAGTAACCGTTTTATAAACTTAAAAATATACCGACAAAAATATTATTATTAACCTATGATTATTAATAAAAAAAATACATTAAAATAAGAAAATGTTAATGAAATATTAGTAATATTATGAACTATAGTTCAATGTTTTAAACAAATAACTGAATAACAACATTATATTAAGGAA